CCGCCTCCCCCTCGCGGGCATCGCGACTTGTGGGGTCCGGCGGGCGCAATGCCACCACGTTTCACTAACCACCTACAATAATTAATTACTGTTGCCATGTCTGAAGCAGCTACTATTTGTCTCAATGACCCATCATGATACTTTGTTTACTTTTGTAAATGAAAACTTTGTAGAGTGTCTTTCTCATAATGGAGAAATTCCTGCCATGACTGCCTGCGAGCATTTTATGTGTGAGTGTGCTTCGCTGGTGACTCGTCTTGCTCTCATTACTGGGTTTTGATGGCAAACTAAATATGGCCCCTTTTCATGCTGAGCTCTAGGGAGGATGGTTAGATTGAAGAGAGAGAACAGTTGGAAGAGGAGGAAAGAAGTTAGAATCATCAAAGATGTACAAATGTTGCATTTGGGAAGCAGGAAAGAGGTGTGAAGCGTGATCAAACAGAGATGAATAATTAGGAACTTACAAATATGTAGGCCTACTGCCTTTGTTATTCTTCTCGTGACTTGTGTATAACCTTTTCCAGACTTCTGATTTCTCGAGTTATGTATTCTATGTGATCGCATTCTTGGCTGCTTTTGGCTTGCATTTGATAATTTTATCAACAGATTCTTAATACCGAAAAATCGATTGACAGCAATTCGTCTGTCTGTTATGTATGAAAAAGACTAGTCTGAGATATGCGTAGGATTTTTTTTCAAATTGAAGAAATCCCTGCCTATTTAGCCTGAGTCGAAGCTCTGGAATTTTGGAAAACATTCATCAACTTTTGGGCGTACTTTACATGAAACCCTCGGGACATTTTCAAAAATTCCTCAAAAGTGGCTCCAAAATGATTTTCTTTGAATTTCTTTTAAGAATAGAGTGAAATACACTTTTAAGGTGGCTTAGGTCTGTTTTTCACTGTTAACTCGGAATTTTGGAGAATTGTAAAAGTATGATTTTTTTCGGCAACTTCCTACAACTGCAATATTGAAGATAGAGATTTTTCTCTTCAAAAATAATTTGTTGTCCATAATTACTTATTTCATTAACTTCCTGCACATTTTTTGAAACTTTTAGTAGTTTTCGTGCAATATTGCATGCAATTTGTGCAATTAAAAAAAATAACAAAACGAGATTTTCTCGAAAACTGCTCCAATTTTTTCTTTAACCTTTGGTAGGGATCATGCTAAACGTACGCTTCAAGATGACATAAACGCCATTTTTCTCCATTTTTTTAAAAATTAAACAAATTTGTCTCTCACGCGGTTAATATTTACTTTAGTGGCAGCCTCTTCACATTATTGTATTTCGAGTACTTGTGCTTTAAATGTCATAAAATTTCTCAAAAACTCGAAGTTTTCTGTGAAAATGAGCTCGAAATTTTCCATTATCAGAAACGTCATTTTTTTCAAACGTTTCGTACGAACAGTGCTAATTGTGCCATTTAAGATGGCATAAAATTAATTTTGTTATATTCTTTTATCTTTTCAAAACATACACAAATGTATTCTTTTTTCAATATCTCACGCCGTTAATGTACAAATTTCCAGCGGTTTCTATACATTATTGCACTTGAGTAAAAGTGTTTCAAATGAAGTTTATCGAAAACTCAAACCATTTCTGTGAAAAAGAGCTTAGAATTTCGCATTTACAGTAACGGTTAAACGCTATTTTCATAGAAAAGGCACCAATTTTTCAATGAAAATGGCCATTTATGACAACTGTTTACTGTCAGTTCTACTATTATTGATTTTTTTATGTCCGTTAGGTGACGGTAGACGGCAGCCGGCAAGAGTATGTAGCGAGTCAGTATAGACCAAAGTAAATAGAAAAGTAATGCGACAATGTATGTGTCATTCTACAGCACCACTGGTTAATATTGTTTATCTTTCTACATTGGCAACACCTGAAATTAAATAGTAATATAATTATATAATATATATTAAAGCTAGATACTTAGTAACCCATTTAGCACAAAGGGGAAATGTGAACAGTGTGCAGAAAGAAAAATTACAAATAATACGAGGAAGCCTAGTATATGCAATTGTGTATTTTGAAAAATGATAAAGAAATACGATATTAAGGGTAAAAGTTGGTACAAGAATTTTGGTGAGGTTTGAGTTTTCAATACCATAAAACTACACAACTGTGGTCCAGCTTTGGTACGTTGTTATTCATTTCTGTCCAAATGAGCTAGACTTTCTGGTTAATTGCTTTTGTTTTTTAACTCGAGTAATACATGGTTAAATTTTTGATAAATACCCATGTTGGTGTGAAAACAATAATAATAATAATAATAATAATAATAA